GGCGCTCAAATCACATTCCTGGTCTCTACACTTGCCTCTCGCTCTGCGCCGAAAGTTGGTTTTCTATTCCGCGCAATGCGTTTCTTTACACCCAAGCACCTTCTTCTCTTATACAAAGCTCAAATCAGCCCGATGCTTGAATACTGCAGTCACGTATGGGGTGGAGATTCATACTCCGCTCTTTCTCTCCTCGACCGTGTTCAGCGTAAAGCCATCCGGCCGATCGACGAACCGTCTTTAACTTTCAACCTGCAGTCGCTTTCCCATCGCCGGGCAGTTGCTTTGTTACCTCTTTTCTATCGTTAATATTTTGGTTTCTACGCTTCCGAACTCGCTTCAGCGGTTCCCCTTCTATTGACCTCTCGTCCATCTCGTTTTTAGGCGATCAGTTACCCTTAGCAGGTTTCTGTCCCCAGATGCCGGACTTCTATCTTTCAATCTTCTTTGTTCCCGAGGACTGCAAAATTATGGAACAGTCTTCCTATTTCCGTTTTTCCCAGCTCTTATAACCTTACCGTTTTCAAAAGCAGGATTAACAAATTGGTTCTTACTTGAATGTTCCCCCACATACCTCCCCCTTATATCCCCCTTATATCGTTGATTATGGGGTTTACCCCTTTTGCTGTAAATCACTTAGTGTGTAATAAAAAAGCAGGAACATATCATTAAAACGATGCAGAAAAGACAATCTACAAAATAATTAGATGACTTATACAGGATGATTTGGTTCATTCGAGTGAATTAAAAAGAACCCAGTTGATTGACACGATCCCATCTGAACCACAAGAGTCTCACATGTTATTAAGGTCGTAGAGTTTATTTCAGTTTTTTAACTATCCGTTTTCGGTAACCCATTTGGATAACAGAGCGGAATGAAGATTGGAACGCTTGGAGCAGTGTCAAAGTGGAGATAGAGAATTCATATAGACTGTGGTTGTAAGAATAACGAGTGGATGCACGAGCGCCAATGTTTCCGACAGCCATCCATAATACTCAGTGTATCTAACCACCGGTGACCATGACCTCGGGGTCTCCATACAAGAAGCCAAACAAGACTGACGTGAACCAGTCTTAGGTAAGGGTTTTCATACCCTCATGCCAGGTTTTGGTTTGACCACTCTTAACATTTTTCCAACGGCTACCTGCCTCGTCAAACATCGCTCGCCATGGTAACCTATTTGGTGACATGCCTAACATATGCCCTAACCAACGCAATCTTGTTCCAGTGGACGACTGCGATTACCTAAAACTCTACGCCCAACCTCAGCGTTGTGTCCGGTTTCCCCATCAGATTCGAGCAAGGCGGCGTAGACAGGGGTGTTCGAACACCGACTGTTCCCGTAGTGCCCAAGTCTCTGCACCGCAGAGTAGGACTAGACGAAATGTTGCAGCATACACTCGACCCTTCACAGACAGCCGGATGTCGCACCACAGATGTCTCAAGTTGGCAAATGTCAACCGATCCTTCTGTATGGATGCCGACACTTCATTTGTGACGTGCCCGCCAGGTGAGATGTAGCTCCCCTAATAACAAATTTGTCCACTTGGTCTATTACTTCCCAAGTAAGAGTGAGGCTAGGTGCTGGACAAACCCAGTCTTGTAGCAACATTTTCCACTTTGAAGGTGCAAAACGCATACTGAATGTGGCTACACTAGCACTCAAACTATCCAGAAAAGCTTGCAACTTACCTGGATCATCAACTAGGAGCACAATGTTGTCTTTATACTCCAGATCAAACAGTCTACCAGTCTATGAGCATTTCGACGCCGCTATCGTCGCACGAGGATAGGGCTGTTACAGGAATTAAATCTGTGACAAAGCTAAATCGAAACGCAGATAGGACAACTCCGACAAACACCGCTTACTGTAGTGAACTCGGGCGAAAAAGTGCCGCATGCTCGGACTCGGTTTCGGCTGTTAGTATAAAGGGATCGCAAAATTGAAATAAATTTCTCGGACATACCCTTCAGAGCGAGGTAGCGCTAGAGTCTAAAGCGGTTGACTCAGTTGAAGGCCGCTTTCCTATCAAGGAAGATAGAAATGGTGGATCTACGAAACGAACGTCTGTTCTCAACTTTGGCGAAAGGTTAAAATGTGGTCTACACAACCTTGATAAAGGTCTGAAACCAGCCTGATTCTTACACGCACCGCAGATTAAGGACGCTGGATGTTTCCGTCAAACTTGAGATTTAAGCAATAACGCTTTGATGGAACTGCTAACTGGACAGCTTTAGGCAGCGTGGTCATGTGCAGGTTGTGTAACTTTCTCTAATGTGAACAGTGTATGGCAATGATAATGATGAGTAATGAGAAAATGTTCACGTTGGATGTAATCTCGTTGTTTAACTTGAATTTGTTTAACACATTTTTTGTTTTACAAAGAGAATTCAATGAGCAATATGACTGCTTTACTTGTAGACAAGCTAAAAGGACTTCTTCGATTATGTAATAACAGAAATGCATTTAAAGGAGTGCGATGCGGTAAAGGGTTGGAATACTAATGGAAACGCCAGTCTGTATTTGCTTCAAAAATGTTTTCATGATCATATGAGAAAGATTGTTTTACAGTATTTGGTATACACGAAACGAAACGAAACAAAACGTAAGAATGGTCAAACAGCTATTTTCAAGATACCTCATGCGGAGAGCACAATTCAGTACCTTCTTCCTTGCTAGTTCAGTACCATTAAAACATAAAAACAGGAAAACGGACCTTATGAAGAAAAACAGGCTGGATTTAAAACATATTTCGGATACACTCTTCATCTTTCGGTTGCAATACTACAGTACCCAGAAAAAGCATTCATAACAGATATATAAGGAACTCAGAAAGCACAAGATAACTCACAACAGACGAGGATCCAACAGAGCTGGACGACTTTTCTCAGATTTTTTCGATTGAGACCGTGTATTTCCTGACCCCAGTCTTTTCGATGCTACTAAGAAAGGTGCCAAGAAACGATCCTCAGTAATCTGGTCACACTGTCCGTTACCGGCGCATTTGGTGCCTGGTGGACAACAATGCTGTCCGTCAGGGCAGCACATACTCTGGATGAGAAGGGAGAGGCGAAGAGAGATGAATTGCTTTAATTAAATGCGCTAGAAAGAAATATAAATTACCACCAAGGTCGATGGCATGATTGAAGTTGAAATGGAAAACGAAGAGCTGGCTATTGGAACGGAATAGTTACCACCTGGAAGAGATATCAGTTCAAAAATGACAATAGAATTTCACTTTAAGAAAATCGTTTTCCTTCAAATTGATAATTTATCTTCGATCATTAACTTTTCCCTAAACCGTCCGTTAGAAATTTCCCATGCTTTTGCGTTGTATATTTTTTTCCTTACATACCGATTGATGCCAAGTCATGGAGTCCTATTTTCACATTGAACATTACGATCAAAAGATTCGTTGCGGACAGCACATAGCAAACAAATCGAAGAAAGAGTAGATGCGTAAACCAAGTTCACCGTCGAAACCGCACTAAAGTCCCGACGATTATTCACATTAGAGTGAAATTGGCTTAAGAAGCGATAAATTCAACATAGAAGGATGGGAATGGAGAGGAATGCAAACCATAAGTAGTGAGTAGTTCGTAAATAAATGTGCGTCCGGGGAATTTCACTTTCAAACCGTTACAATTGCATTTATATGATAAAATAACGATGATAATACGGTAAGTTAGCTATAAGCACACAAAAATCAAAGTTGCCCGGCTGAAAGCAAACCACGGACGAAAAAAACGATGATGCATAATTATTACCACTGGTTTATGCATCTGAACAATGGAGAAGAGAAGCCTGACCCTACCCTTATTCTTGGCCATAATTAAGTGACCTCAATTGGGCAACACGCTTATCACTGTATTCATAAAAAAGGAATGATTGTAATGATCAGAGAATGACATCGCCGAAAGCATCTCTTCGTCTGTGATACGTATTTTGACCGGACACCAGATTTACGGAAGATTCCCATGAGAATATCAAAAGACAAATAATATAGCGAACAAGCGTATTTTCGTAACTTCGTCTTCAGGCATTTACAGTTGTGTGGGTTTGTGTGTGTGTAAATATGTGTATGTAAATGCGCAAATGTGCATTTAAATGCCTGAAGACGAAGTTACAAAAGCAAACTTGTTCGCTATATTGTTTGTCTTTTGATTCAAGTTTACACCGGTAAATAAGAGCTCATCAGATTGAGCCATTTCCCAGCGTCGACATAGTGAGTCGGTTCAGATGGTATGAGGTCAAAGGTCGTGTCGTACCCATCGTGAAAGCAATCGCGACGCGACTGAACAAGAAACCATTTTTGGAGACGCCTAACCACGCACCGCAAACTCCATTACGTAACAAGTAACCCAAGTGAGAGTTGACGTAAGTTGCCTCACTGATAAGGTGACTGTGATTCACTAATGTGAGTTTACTTAGAACTCTACCACATCCTCTCATATGTTTATCGATTATTCAAACATTTTCACATCAGCTTTACTACTTGTTGCGTGGTTACCGTTAAGCCTTGTAAAAGTTATATTTTCCGCGTGAACTAAATCAGTAAAACGAATAACGAAACATGGGTCTGTCACTTTTCATGACACTTGACAAGACAACAAATGATATTCAGTTCACAGTTCAAATAGGATGCAGATTAATTCCAATAGTAGATCTTCCAAACCGAGGCAAACAAATAAATTTGTGTTTGGTATGTGTTAGCAGTCCACAAACGGCATTATGTGGATGATGACGAGCGGGTAGAAATACGACCAACACTGTGGAGAATCGACAAAAGTTATCCTTAGTCACAGCGAGCTGAATCATACAGTAGAGCGGCGCTAAGTGGTACGTGAATATGATATCCCCGCAGTTGTTCACTACGAACCCAGTGATTTACATATAAGTCAAAGCACCTAATTCACACCCTTTTGGTTAGCTGCTATTTGAAAATAAGTATTCTTGGAACAAAGCCGCCCACAAATGGAAGTCTCGGTCGGGACGCAAGTTATCAAGACTTAGAAAATGGGGAGCGGACAGATACCCGTTGATATGAACACACCATGTTGAATTCCATGCCAAAAGGTGTCGCAAAATTGCATTCCACTGTAGTGCTGCATGTTTTCAGACACATTAAATCTAACGCTCGAAGGAAGTTCGATATTGATTGTAACTTTAGTGGACGGAGTGATGTGAACAAGGTAAATTTCACGCAGGTAACATAAGGAACACAACGAACCAGTGAAAAATACAAAAAAGCACTCACTCCGGCCTTATCGCAGCACATACGATTGTGGAGACCGTGTGCATCTGGACAGCAGTATCCGTTATCACCACATTCTGAGCACCAACCTGTACGAATTACTTGGCCCGGCGTGAAACTGCGTAAGAACATATTGGGTATGGACTTCGACGAAAATGATACAGATTCGGGAACTGGGAGCATGCGACGAGCTGTAACACGATTGGCATGCAAACCTCGAGCGGCCGGGCGAATACATTCACCAGGTTCCTCGGCGCACATTGTACCTTCAGGACAGCAATGTCTTCGATCCTCGCAACACGTACCCTAAAAGGGAATTTGATATTAACAGATGAGTTTAAATTGTACTGGGTTCATCATTCATAACGAACTAAATGTTAATCAAAGCAATCACTGAACCATAATGTTACGCGGGATTCTATGCATCTGCAAGTCGTAACCTGTTTCATCGGGTCATTATCAATGCTAAAACTGGAAAAGACAATGTAAGCGGTTACCATTTACTATAACCTAGAGGCTCGTTGAAAACGCTATGATGTAGATAATACATTAGCAGCTTAGAAAGGGTCCTCAAATTTAGTTGCAATACAGAGTAGATTAAATTAATGACTCATTGAAAAGACTAGTGAGAAAATTATTCAGGTATTCAGCCGTACTTGAAGTAACTAAATACTCCAGAAGCAAGTGATTTCCACAGGCAACTGAAAGTTCCTATCTCGTCAATGGTCATCAGTGCATTCCAGATGCACGGCAATATACGATTTGGAAGGCCGGATTAGTATCACAAACAAATCGGTCTATTTGTGGAGCGAAGTGCATCGAAAAACTACTCCAGGTTGATCACTGACGCTATTGCAGAAACTGCATAAATTGAATGGCCAATATTTTTATAAACCTTGGTGGTATGAATGATAGCAGGGATGAAACCCATAACCATGAGGATCTACATGCCCCATAAGCAATTCGAAAAATTTGCGCAAAGTGAACAGCGTGTACAATTGCAGGTGGATTCCAGTCGGGACGAACAGTTTACGTGCACTTCTGGAAGTTGGTGTCAAAGGATCATAGCTGTCCGTGTAGGGGCATAGTTTAACCGCGTGTCATACAAGCATGTAGGAGACATTCATGTGTGGAATAACGTCCCACCGAGATTATCAATCAAGTTACAGCTCATTTAAAAGACTGTCGTTTAGGTGCAGTCTCAACAACCAATGCATTGAACAGGAACCGAGATAAATCGACTATCATCACTTTGGCGGTAGGCAACTTTGCTGTCGTGCGGTTCAATACCACGCCTGACCCAGCGGGGCCTTATGTGATTCGCCACTCAACGTCCCGGGGCTTAAGTGAACGGTTCCCATCACTGAACAGCAGGTGTTTGTGACCATGGGATCCACTCTGTCTGCTGTTCATCACATAAAAATGTGTGAAAAAATGTGAGTATGAGATCAAATAAACTTCCTTGCAGGGTGTAAAGAATCGCATCATCCTACTTAATATTGGTTACATATTAATCGATCCTTGGGATTTTAAACAATGGTAGACTAGTTGCCTGATCCCATTGCTATTTCAATTTGATGCCACTTCCGATTGATAACGAGCGTGAAAGTCTTTGATGGCTGCCCACAAAAGTTATGATGGGTCAATTTACCGAAAGGNAAAAAAGCCTATATCAAGTAACCAGTTCAACAGTATGACTCATTATCTTGATAAGGTGTTAACACTGCCCCGTACTGAGAAAATAACAAAATGCATATAGCAAGTAAACTCCATTTGCCTTTTTTATTACAAACCAATGTGTGATGAACAGCAGACGGGGCGAACCCCATAGTCACGAAGACCTACTGTCTAGTGATGGAAACAGGTAACCTAAGCCCCGGGACTTGGAGTGGCGAACCACTTAAGGACCCGATAGGTTAGGCGTGGTATCGAACCGGACGACAGCAAAGCTGTCTACCACCAAAGTTGGGTGGCGGTGGGGGGGCTCGAACCTCGGACCAACGGGGTCCAAAGCACGCCGGTGACAGCGACTAAACCACTGCGCCACCGCCTAAAGGCATGTTTCACAACGAACTGTTATCCGATAGAGTAATTAGTTTATCGCACATACGTTTGCTTGCACTTGAAGCAATTTTTCTTTGTACAGATTAGAAAAACCCAGAATGTTTCGCGTGATACCTACAAGTCAACTCAAGGCAAATGAAAGTAATGTTTGTGCACTTGAGAGAACAACACTTCTTCCGAGCCTCATCAGTTAGTTTACACTATTTGAGTTTTTCCTGCTAGGGTTTAAGTTGACTCCAAAGACCGCAAGGAGCATAGGCATAATCGGGAATAAGATAACAAGCGGTTTCAGGAAGACCAACGATTTGTAGTTCGCATGAAGTGCTGGTATGGTACTGAAAAACTCACGTTGGTCAAAGGACAGCACCCAAAGTCACCATCAATGAGTAGGCAACAGGTTTGATGATCAATGCAGAAGGACCGTTTATCGGGACAAACATTGTCCTGTGGGCCCGGAACGTTGACTGGTTCTTTGACCGGCTCATTTGTGGGCTCACGAATGCAAGATGAATCCACAGAGGAGCACAAATAACCCTCGGGACAGCAATGTGTTCCATCCGAGCAGCACACCGCCTGTATGTATGAGTTAGTTCCAGAGAGAGCAAACGGAAGACGAGAATAGAGTAAACGATCAAATGATCCGAAAGGATAAGTGAAGGAACCGAAACCATTCAAATTCAACAGATCGAAGAAAAGGACACCAAATAATGCAAAGTATAACCATGAAATTTACTACAGGTATACAATTAAACTTAGCTAGACCGCCGCAAGAATGATAATTGAGGAGATTACAAGATGTCAACATGTCGGTGAAGAACATGCATAGGTGAAGGAAGGATATGTTTATTAGCAGTCGGTTCAAAAACAGGTATAAAAATAGTTCCGATAATTGAAACCATGAATGGTGGTAAACAGTCGCTTCAAGTGTCTGTCAATGGCGTACTACCGGCCGTTAGATCCGTGATTCGAACCCCGTCACCGCTGTTCAAAAGCTTTGCTGCCAATCCGCTCAATGCCACGCCTATCCTCCAGTGATATTATGTTATATATATATATACATATATATATATATATATATATATATATATGCTTCCAGGGAAATTTTGTCCAGTCATTCACATACTATTTATTATCAAATATTCCACCAAGACCATCAGGTCACGTTTGTTGCGGTTANTATATATGAGAGAGAGAAAATCAACCTAAAACGACCCATAGAGCGAATAAAGTTATAAATGGTTTGAAACAGAACTAATAAAGGGTAGGAAGGTTTAACAAACTGTATTACTGACAAGAGAAGCTTTTGTTCCCTTGTGCGACAAGCAAATGTGATCTTGCTTGAATGAATCACCTACAATTCAAATGCGACACTGAGACCCAAAATTAGCATTTGAAGAGATAAAACCAAAAATCGATTAGTGAGATGATGATCACAAATGTGCCAACAGCACTGAGTCGACTCACAGAAAGTTTACTCAAGACGTAAGAAAAGCACTGGCAAAACTTCTCACACACTCAACTAAATCGGAACCCACAGCCAATGCGTGAGAGGCNGCATACAACCTCAGCTTCATATTAGTTTAAACAACCATTAAGCACGCACTTCCATGAGGCGCTTTTGGTTGCTGTCTTTTGGCTACCCGTTAGGAGGAAAGCTTGAAAGTAGGATTGATGAGAAAATTGATAAGTTCAGTGGTGCAAGGAAATTGAGACGCACGAACGCCACTGTTTACGACACAGCCATATCACTCAGTGTCTCTAAACCTCGGTTACCATCATCCCGAGGTCCCCATCCAGGGAGCCTAACCGGACCTGTGACCCAGACTCCTGGTTAGGATTTTCATACCCTCATGCCAAGTCTTAGGTTGACCACCCTTGGCTGTAACCCACCCACTACCTGCCTCGGCAAACATCGCTCGTCGTTCCAGTGGGCGATCGCGGTTGCCTAAAACTCTGCGCCTGACCTCAGCATTGCTCGTCTGGCTGCCCCACCAGATTCGTGCAATGCTGCTGCGTAGACAGCGGTGTTCAAACATCTCACCGACGCAATTCACAAAACGTCGTCGAGAGAGAGAGCCGAAGCAAGGGCAATCAACCTCGCGCCGTATGCTCGGCTCTCCACAATCGCCACAAGATTAAGCGCGACGGTTTGAACCATATCAAGCTGCTCGAGGCCGGATTCCGCAATCTAGCAACTAACATTATTGACCGCTGTACAAAAGTTTGAGCGCATATATTTTATCGTCATCCTTCTGTCATTCTACTGCATATTGCCAATCGAAATCAATTTAAGCTGTGAACAATAAACAACAACCGTGTCGATATGCCTGTCGTTTGGTGCTGCGTGTGACGCGGGGCTATCGAGTAACCGCAGTGAGTGGTGCGAACTTAATCGCACTTCATTACCTATCATCTACCCGGTCTGAACATTTCATGCCCATAAATTATTCATGACTAAGTGCTAAGGTTAGTACGCAACTGCAAGCACAAGCAGTGTCAAAACATACTCCGGAGTCAGAAGTTGGTAAATGGAATAATTGAAAATACGTGTAATACATTAAACTTTGAAAGAAAGAGTTTCAAAGAATCGAGGTTCTGATTACTTATATTTGTAGAATCAGTCAGTTTCTCTACAGTAACTGTACCAAGTAATTTGTAGAACCACCAGGCATGTATACTTCATCTTATACCTGTACGTATTATTTAACATTATCATTCAACACGTTACTAATTACAGAGAATTGGCAAATGTGGCACAACACATGAACAAAACAATCTGTAGAATGTATTTATAGGTTGTGTGGGCATGTTACTACCTACTTGTCCTGACCGAGGAAGGGGGGGGGGATATTTTCGGGGTCCCCACCTGAAGCCTTTGGCTAGAAAGCCAGACCTGCAAGAAAACAGTACGGAGCTTAGAGTCCGCGGTCTATTGGAGGCCGGTGTCCAGTTCATTGGATCATAGGCCCTTTGGATGGGTTCAAACGATCAAGGTGCCCAGTACAACTTGATGCCCAATCGAGCCGGTGACCCCTGCCACATTCAGGAAGGTGTGAGTGATTGTGGTCCGTACGCCTCTTGTTGGTTATTTTCGAATCAGGGTTTTTATCCGACTCCCCTAGGTGAACTGCAATGGTCCACTAACCTGGTTCTAGCCGCGGATGTTAGTTCTTCGTCTTCTCACTTTGGTGGGAAAACACCTCCCCGACGAGAGGGCAGTGAATAGCGCTTCCTTAGCAGAGACTATTCGAGACGCTTGGTCATATAGGAGTATTTCACGACGTGTAAGGGAATGGTGACCAGTCACAACCCGAGACACCCACCCGGACCATACTGAGGCATTCGGAGAAAGAACTATTTGGCATGTATACTTCATCTTATACCTGTACGTAACTCTTGTTTTGAACTGGACAACAGATTTTATCAAATCAAAAAATATCCGGAATAGGAATTCTGAGACGCCAAAAGACGAATAAATTATGGAAACCAGAAGCAACCCCTGTGAATTCAACATCATCGCACATTAGCTTTGAATCTGTATGTTTCATACAAAAAGGCTGCAACACAATGAAGAGTGGAAACACATCTTTCCAGTATGTATTAAATGTTCATTTTCACTGATAATTAAGGTGAAAATAACCTCGCCTCGACCAACCCCGTGTGACAATGAGACACCACAATCTTCTCATCGAACCAACTTTTTAACACACAGGCCTCAAAGACAGGTTGTTTCATGATAGAAAGAAAGTACGGGATTGTCGAAAATGGTAATATAATAGAACTCACATTCAAAGATGGACAACAACCCCACTGAGCATCAGTCATTTGACAACAAGTGCTATTCTTCGGACATTCCATACGTCCACCGGGACAAACGGTGGATACCGCTGTAGTCTTTGAGTGGCGCTCTACATCGAAAGCAACTGATGGTGCAGGACTCGTTCGCGTTGCCATAACCTGGTTCAACTGATCACCTATGATGCACATGCCAGTCTCATCGGAACAAGCGGATCCTGGGGGACAGCAGTGTTTTCCGTCACTGCAGCAAACAGCCTGCAACGCGTAGAAATTGTAAATCGAGATTGGGACAGAACATTAGAGATGACAGTCGAGACACAAGCTAGTTAAGCAGTTAAGCAATAGTTTCTATTAAAATGGTGCTAGTAGATTCTCTTATGAAGGCATTTGAGGATTTGAGATAAAGCAATGAAACTAATCTCCCAGCAAAAACAGTTCCAAATGTATACACTTTATCTTCTGTCGGATGAGAACATAACAAGATGATGCAGTGAAATTAACATTGGAAACTGGTGTACTTGGGTTTTATAGAAAAGTATAATTTGAAGGTTGCTAAGCAAAAATAAAAAAAGAACACGGCTGCCTTAGCCAAAGAATACGCGGAACGGAGAGAGTAGGAAACCGTCAAATCACCAACAGGAACAGTGGGGTGTGGCCTATTGTAAAAGAGCAGTGTACGAAAAATTGATCAACTAAGGACGAAAAACGTCAAGAAGTGACTCACATTTGGCATGGGACAACATGCCCAAAGTCCGCCTTCGATTTGGCAACAAGTGCTCTCACTTGGACATGCCCACTTCTGGTCAGGGCACACAACTTCAGTGTTGGAACTAAGTGGGGAGTCTGTGAGACGCGCAGGGATTTTTCGGAACCAGGTTATCTGACCACGGGTGTCGGGCACACATTCTCCACTACGAGGATCACAACGCGTGTGTTCTGGACAATGGAATCCGTTGCTGGTGCAACGGAGTCGCTGTTCAGTGAAGAAAATTAAAACAGAATACCTAAGTGATCGAAGACCGACGCATCTAAAGACGGATGCTGCGATTTTTTATAAAAAAACTCAAATTTATGTATAAAAGAGGTTAAAGACCGGCAATAAACATTATCATTTTGAATCAAGGACAGGTTCATAAATATCCTACTACAAAGTGCAATGTTAAGACAACTGACCGAGTTATTCAAATTATACTGGGAACAAGTTTTTGATGACAGTTGGGAGGGTTGGAAATCTGCAACATTATGTTAGTGGAAAAACATGATCAATGGTGAAATATTTTATCCTTGGTGAGTTATTTTTGCGATCGCATAAGCTTCACTGTATACCAAAGTGTACGATGCAGTGCAAACTTAGAGAACCGTAAGAGTAATCCGCGGTGACCTGCTCATATAACTAGACTGAAAATTATAGTATTTCTACTTCTGGTATTAAGAACACAACCGATACAGAGAAAGAGAACAGCGCATGTGGCGAATCGATCCAGTTTCGACCAGTGAAGATAGGCTTGAAATCACCCTGTGCAAGCACACACACACAATAGAGCGGATGTCATCCGATTAGCAGCCACTTTTCAACTGACCTTGAAACGACCGAACATGGCGATATTAGCACGTGCATGCTGTTCGAATAAACAACGTGTACTTCGCGAAAAACAAGTGACACGAGTAACTGTATACGGGTTTACGCGTGTGTATGTGCATTAATGCTCGTAGTGGAACATAAACAGTAAGCGAACTGAGAGTGAATTGAGCTATCATTTCGTCACTTCCGGTTTTCGAAACAAAGAGTAGGCAAGCAGTTCAACGCACAGTCCAACCCGATCAACCAACAGGTCAATAAAACAGACCTTGACAACACTAATTAATAGAAAGGTGAATTTCATGGGTCACCTAATCAGGAGGACGACTGTCAACCTAATGCAATCATTATATCCACCTTAGCTTTTTTAAACATTGCTCGAAGTGGGCTCAAAGCATCATGTGGCGTCACCATCTGCGCCTGTCTAGAATGTTATTTAAGTTCAAATAATTGATAACCGGTGGACTTCATCGAAAAAACTACCCGCAAATTAGGTCAAAATGGTATCCAAAATAATATGCACATAACCTTGACCTATGTAACACGGTTGAGAAGAATTGAGAAAAAACAAGGAATGCTAGACTCGCCTGAATATTGATGACTGCGATGAATTATCAAAACAGTCTGATCGGAGTGTATCCTAAGCAACGAATTATAAAAGCTGCCTAATGACCTACCTGGCTCATCCTCTCGAATCTATCGGCAGAGGATAATTTAAATAGGTCACTTTCACATTACCATTGATCCCAGAATGAAAAAACTATGTAGAACAAAAATCAGACTACGCGGGCCTCAACCCACAGCAGATGAACTCAACTGCATGTTTTCACGCCGACTGAAACTGAAGTATCGAATCCTTATTTCCAAACAGGTGACCATCGTGAAGTTTCATGTATCAATTCAAATCAGGTGCGGGCGCAGCTAAAGTGCCTAAAAATATCAAAAGCTTCCGGTCCTGACGGACTATTACTAGTCGTCCTCAGGGAATGTGCGCATTATCTGGCGGAGCTACTTGCAGGTATTTTCAACCGCTGCTTCGAGGAACAAAAAATTATCGACTGCTGGAGACCTGTGCGCATTACACCAGTCCCTCAAAAAGAAGCTGGCAAACTACGACCAATCGCCTGCACTTCTACTTTACTAAGAATTTTCGAAAATTTTATACTCAATAACATTATTCCCAATACTGGGTAGCTAGATGAAAACCAATTCGCTTATCGCAAACAATGTTCTACCTTAGATGCTCTCGCTCATTTGGTAAACTCAGTTTTGCGATCCCTAGACATGCACGGTAGGGCATTACGTGTGTGTTTCCTTGACCATATTAACGCTTTTAACTGTGTTGACAGGAGCAGGCATTTGTCTCTACTCCAAGATTACTTTGCTCGTAGAACATAATTCACAAAGTTTCTTGGAAAAACCTCTGACTCCCTACCAATCAACTCAGGGATGCTCCAGAGAGCAATTCTGTCCCCCTTTCTTTTCTCTTTCTATATTTGTGACCTTCCCACTAACCCAAATGATCTTCGTATTAAGTATGCTGATGATGTCACAATTGGTTCCAGATTCCAAGGTGATTTCCGCTTCTCACATCTTCAAATCAGTTTATCTGCCTTAAACTTATGGTCTTCGTCTTCCAAGTTATCTCTCAATGTATCTAAATATAGCGATGTCACCTTTTCACTTGCCAAAGGAGAACGGCTACATTCTTTTGAAAGAAATTGTTCTGTACCCTATGTTGACAACCATCCTGTTCCCCCAGTAACCTCTCTACAATACCTCGGTGTCACTATCCACTAAGATCTCACCTGGACCTCACATTTAACTTCTACTTTTGTAAAAATTCGACGGTTGTGTTTCTTTATTACCCGCTTGCGTTCTTTAAAAGTTCCACTCGATTTGTATATTCTTGTGTTGTTACACATCTCTACTGCTCCCCAGTTTTATTTGACGGTCTTAGAGCTAAAGATTACACAATTCTGCGCCGGTCTATTAAAATTATTTCTCGCACAAGCGGTATTTCTTATTTGCACTTGCTTAACTTTATCGCAGATAAACATTTTACCTCTTGCAATAACTTCTGTAACGATATTCTATCAGACACCACTCACCCATTACACACAGAACTTAAACAATGTATATCCATTTCTGTAAAAAGATGCCGTTATAAACTGATGTATGCTCGTACCACCGCCTATCGTTTGTCCGTCATCCCCTNCGTCAGGGAAAATTTCTTGAATTGCCTACGCAATTGATATTCAACTTAAAACTTGTACTCCACATTCCTTTGAATTGACGATGCTGTTTTTTTACTTTTTTGTGACTGTATGCGACGATAAATGTTCCTGGAGTGCAATAAGCTGAGAATCCATCCATTAGGATGAATAAAGCGATTTTTGACGGGACTTGACTTGAGAATATTGCATGCCCTGGGTAAAGTGATCATTTTCCATGCATACTTGAAAACCTGAACCAGCTGCAATGGTCTGAATTAGGTCGAGTGAAAAAGTGCTTACTGAGGGCAGCAACCTAGGACGGAAATCGTAAAAGACAACCCCCTGAGGATATTTGGTTGGTTCACAAAGTAAAAGGTCAACTGCTGCAGCGACCATGCATGTACGCAGAGAAGCAGGCTAGAAATTGAATTCCATATCTAAGTTCAAGACTGCATCACACAGACACGCAACACGACTGCTGACCTGGAGAGTTGTTTGAATCCCAGTCAACCCGACAGGTGTTGAGTCCGACTTGATGCAACGATTATGCTCCTCATCGCATTGATAATGTTCCGGGCAGCAATGTGCTTTATCTGCACAACAAACAGCCTAGAAGCAAATAAGAGAAAGCATTTCAAAAAGTAAACCCAAAGGCTAGGATATATTACATTGAATAAAGACAATACTTCTTCGAGATTTCATCAAGTGAGATTCTGTAGCCCGCCTAAAGTTCTTTGCAATGAATTAATAGTTCTAATCAGCTATAAAATATGAACACTCCCAAGGGTAAGATGCTAAAAATGTGCGTTATTAGCATTTGGCAACCTAGTTGGAAAACACATGTCCAGTACAAATACCCAAGCTTACCAGNCTTACCAGAAAAACTATTATGCATAGATGATAAACAAATAGCTGATCAATGATGCACCCGTTTAACAGATGTCAGTGAGGTTGTATGATTCAAGGGCTACTTTCGGATAGAGATAGAAGAAGTACGATCAAATAGAAAACCGTTGAGCTCGAACGCAAATGCAGTTGATAAAGCCCTAAACGGCCCGATTTGTGAACATTATCAATATGGGTATTGTTGACTGTATCACACCCCTGAGCTAAGTAAAAACTGACGGTAGCAGCGTTTCTCCCAGTTATGCCTGGAAATCCACAACAGCGACTAGATTCCAAAGTTAGTAGGCAAGCATGTGGAGATGGTGAAATGTGATCTCAGGTTATAGCGTAGTTATTCAGACCCAATATAAACCAGAGAACCTAGGCATTGGTCATATGATGTTGTCACTAAATGGCCATTGCATCGAAGAGGACGATAACTGGATAGCGAAAGCCGTCAAGCATACTCAGCATGT